ATTTTTAAAAAAACCCACAATACAAACGAAATGGTAAACAGGGAAGAAAAACTATGCACACGCACGACATCTGTAACGCTCTCCAGCATGCGTTTATCCTCGGAAGGATTTTCCTTAATAATCAATGCGTATTCGATCAGAAACAGGAGGACATATCGAAGACTCTGGGGGCTTTGCCACGTGATGGCCAGCAGAGGACAGCGATGTACATTGTTGTTGTGTACTTCTGCACTCCCCCGCCTTCACAAAACCCCACTTGACCAGCGTTGGTGCAGTTTGGTCGAACACCTGCCCCACGTCACGCACTGCGCGTGAAGGCCCTTATCCAGAAATGGATTCGGGCAAACATGACAGTTCCACGTAGACGCACTGTACTCGCCAGTACAAATGCAAAGATCCCCCGTATAGATTTAACCGACCCTGTTGACAAGTGCTGCTGGCGAGCAACTACAAATGGATCGGTGGCCAGTAACCACGCCCGGCCTCCTCTCCCTCCCGAGTGGCAATAATTCACACATCGCATCAGGTATTCATCTGAGGCTGATTCGACCGAGGAGGGAGGCTCGGGACCGGTTCACGTAAGCGTCACTGGTGTTGTGCGTGAGCGAGAATCGAACTCTGGTCGCCGGCTTCGTAGGGCAGCGAACTGACCGCGACAAACAACCCCTCGCCAGGCACTCGCCAGTTCACACACACACACGCGCGCGCGCACGTTCACATCAGGGCTTGTCGCCCGTTCGTTTGGGAGCTCGTGTTGACGTGCGATTGAGCTGCCCCCGGCTGACAAACATTACAAACGAGCGAGCCGCAAGGGGGAAGAGAGGAATGTTATCTAATCACAAATCCTTGTCGCCCATCATAACAAACAGTGAGCCAATTCACCCGCTCGGGGTGAGGGTTGGAGGGAAGTTACGGCTGGGGGGTGGGGAAGGTTGCGTGGCAAGAATTGAAAAACAAATAACAATCTCTCCGATGTGTTTTCAGGTTGTACTGCGTGTTGTTTGGCATAATGTACGACGTTTTGCTCCACGAGCCTTCTGGAATTCTGTCCCTACAGTTCTTCAGAAACTGAACTTCGCCAAAATGCTGAGGCTTATTTCTTCCCGAACAAGCTTCCCAGCACGTGGAGCGAAACGTCGAATGTAGTGCCGAAAACAACGCACAGTGGTACAACCTCTAAAACACACCGGAGAAGCTTTGCAGCACAATGCGAAAACACCGACGCACTAAAAAGTGCAATTATTTCACCCTAAACGAGTGAACGAAAGCGTTACAAATGCAATAAGAATATCATTATTGCGGATTGCACCACCTTCACCGGTGTTTTTTGCTGGCCGCTTGGGCGGCTTTTGTGCGTTGATTTTTATACCCAGTCACGGCAAGCACGTTGCGCAGTTACGCCCGCTGTGAGTACGCGCACGTGTCCGCTCGACTCTATACAACAACAAAGAAAGCCACGGCGAGAAGAAGACTTCCTCTCCATCCCTTTGACTTGCTAATGAGCCATCGCGGCCGAAGAGATGCGGCGCCGCTCTCCCCAGTCTCATGCTAATAGCTGGAGACAACAAGATCCCTTTCCTGTCGCATTCGCTCGCCCATCACCCACGGGGAAACGGGCGCGGGGAACAACTCCGAGCCACCGCGGGGGGTCCCCGCCGGGTTGGCCGCCGTGCCGCCGGGGAGAGGAGGCTTCCAAACGCATCTTGTTCGCTGCACCTTCCTCGCTGCTTGCTCGTCGTGTGGCCGACGTTGTACGCAGAGCAACAGCTGCGACTTTGCACGGTGGTTCTTTTTCGTGGCGCGTATGATGGCGATGCGTTCCAGGAGCTGCCAATTGTCACGAGGTCTGCTAATTGACGACGAGAGGGCTGCAGGAAGGAGAGATGGTTCGTGTCTTGGTTGCTGTTCCTGCCTCCGCTGAAGGAGCGCCACGCTCCAGTGGTTTACTCGATGGTGCACGGCCACTAGTCGCACTACTGTCGCCTGTTTCTTTCATTTTGAATTCATGAAGGAGATGCGCTCATCGGGCTGTTGATGTTCTGAGGCATTGAGGTGCTCAAGCCAGATAATTGCGTCAGCAGTCGTGGAGGGAATCGCTGTGATGCCGCCTCACTTTCGTATTTGTGAATCGGGCATCGAGTCGTATGTCCCATTGTCTGGTCTGGATATCCACAGTCGCACACCGGAGAATAAATAATTAATCGTAATTAAAATCAGTATTGCATTTATAATATTAATAAATGTTAGACACATTCGTCAATAACACTGCTGCCTTCAAAGGGAAAAAAATATATTTATCCAATGTTTCTACCAAATGGTCCTTCATAGCACGTAAATTAATCACGTGCTATGAAGTGTCATTGTGCGAAACGTCGCCTATTATAGCTTGTTCCTTTTCAAGGCTAAAGTGTTGACAAAATGTGTTGAATTTTGATTTAAAGCTTTCGTGACTGCAGTAATTCATATTCTTAGTTTTTTCGGTAAAGTCACGTTGAAGAGAAACAACAAAATAACAAAATATATATAAAACAATCAAAAATTCTCACGACGTTTCGACCATAACTCAAACGGTCATCATCAGGTGTGTCGGTTTGCAAACCGACACACCTGATGTGTCAGGTGTGTCGGTTTGCAAACCGACACACCTGATGTGTCGGTTTGCAAACCGACACACCTGATGATGACCGTTTGAGTTATGGTCGAAACGTCGTGAGAATTTTTTATTGTTTTATATATATTTTGTTATTTTGTTGTTTCTCTTCAACGTGACTTTACCGAAAAAACTAAGAAAATTCAGTGGAGAGACAGGGAGAGACAGGGAAGGCGGTTTGCAAACCGACACACCTGATGATGACCGTTTGAGTTATGGTCGAAACGTCGTGAGAATTTTTTATTGTTTTATATATATTTTGTTATTTTGTTGTTTCTCTTCAACGTGACTTTACCGAAAAAACTAAGAAAATGTGTTGAGTTTTTATTATTTGTACTTGTGCACCACTGCTAAACGCAGTACCACCAAACACTGCAATCCACAAATAAAATGTAATTAGTCGGACGAGAGATACCGACTGTCAAAACCAGGCCAGAGTTTAAGTTGAAGCGATGCGACTAATATTGTTTGCGCACTCCCAGGAGGCCGTAATGCTGATGTGTGTAAAAAAAAGATTCCAGTGGAGAGACAGGGAAGGCGGTCTGTTGTTTGCTTTTTTAGGCATTCATAATTTACAACTGTGCTGTGCACTTTTTGTTCACTCTCAGAGAGAGAGGGGGGGGGGGTACGGGAGGTGGACAAGCGGACCGGCTCCAAGCAGCGTATTGGGGATCCAGATTAATTAAAAACGGGGGTGCATACAATACTAACATTCTAACCGCTAATAAACTAACAAAAAAACTATAATTAAAAACAAAACTATCAACATAACATGAAAATTATTCTGTCTTGTCATCTCACGACATCTCTACTACGTATGCTAGTATCCTATTTCAATACATCTATGGCTCTTGTCTATGGCCTTTCATTAAGATTCTATTAAATGTAACGGCGAGGGGTGGGGGGCAGGGCGGGACGGCACGTGATAAGGCGACTTTGTTGAGCTATCATTTGTGGCCAGCCGCTTCTGAAACATAAGTTAACACCTCAGTGGGCTTTGCTTGGTAGGATGGAGATGGTTTCGTTGTATGTCTGTGTTTTTGGGTGATTTGTGTGCCTTGCCTGTACGTTGCACTACGATCGTGTTGTTGTACTGTTTGTTATTGTACCGTTCTTACCCGCCCCTACTATGTGAAAAGAGCTTTATAGCTCATCGCATTCCTCCTGCATGATAAATATTCGGATTCTGAAAACACAATTATGCCGAGTACCCGTTCCACAATAGCCTATTATTATAGCACCTCACTGATACAGCCCTGCAAGTCACGACCAATGGGTTTCCCTATTGGTGCCTAATCCATTGGGCCAAACGTTGGCTTATCATCGGTAACCAAGTGGGGTGGGGCAAAAGCTATCGGCAAGTTTTCTTAAAGCACTATCTCCAGATCACGAATGTGCCATGGAAAGGTCACCCGTGGTGTTTGATACCGAATATGGTCATGGAAATGATAAAAAAAACGCGATATGAAACATCTACTTAATTTAAAAATAAATATCAAACGTGCATAACATAAAAAAGCGGGTATACACGCGAAGCTTTCCGCTCATGAGTGGATACTTGCCCATGGTGGATACAGGGAGCATTTGCCACCGCAGGTGGTAACAACAAAGCCTCCTTGGCTCGTGGGTGGCACAAGCAGAACTCGGCACTTAATAATCATGCCCCCCGCCTCGGTTGTTTCCAGGCGCTGCCGTTGCGTTGGTCGCCTGTCAGCGCGCGCGCCCCAAATCGACGTCGAACATCGTGTCCGTTCACTAAAACTGGCGTTGTTCCCTCTGAAGCGACCGCTCCTGGCGTCGCGTGTGTCGATTCGCGCGTTGTTTTCACGATTCGAAGCATCTGCGATCGGAATGCATGAGATCTGTCACGTGCGGCTTCATTGAAATGTAATTTGTTGCATCCTTAAATTTACGCCACAGAATATACAATACGTGTACAGAGTTTGGACCGATGGACCAAAACAAAAATGAAATTTTATTTTCAAAACAAACAAACCCCGAATCAGGTGTTTATTTTATTTTGGTACTGCATTATCCAGTTAGACACACATTTCTCTGTTTTTAAAAAAACATTGGGGGGCAGAGGGTGGGGGGTCTTTATAATCCATTCGCCGTGTGTGATACCATCTGTATAACTTTATTGACACCGGGCACAAGTTTGGGTGGGTGCGTCTTATTTTCCAGTCGACTGAAATCCTGGAAAATACGGCAACTCACGATTTCTCCACGTCAAACGGTTTCCGTTAGTTCTTTCAATGGCAATTGGGGAAAAAAGCCCGTGCGAGGAAGAGAGGAGAGGGCCTCGCCCCGATCACAAAGCGCAACCAATAAAACCACAGAGACGATTCGCTTCTGCGTAACTCATACTTTTTTTTTACTGTAAAACAAATGTACGGAATGAACAACAGATGTACCCAAGGCTACAACACAACAGAAACGATACAACGCACTCGCATGTAATGCTGAGTGTCTGTTAATCATGTATGTACAGAATACAAAACAAGCACTATCAGTAGCATCATTATGGAATATGGTCAGAGTAAATATAACATAACGCGTACATACATGAAGGCCATAATGCCGCTGGTTATGATTATGCTGTTAATACGCAAAAGCCAAGGAAACGCAAGCGGAACAGATATCAACGTCGCGGATTTATGCGCTGTATTATCTGTTGAAAACAGGACAGCTATGAATTTGGTAATTATACGCTGTTGTAGTCATTATACGTATGAACTTGATACAATATCGATGAAAAGCGATGGCGTAGGTGTATACAAAATTACGAAACGTTATGTTATATATAAAAATTAGAAAACAGTACAAATATTTCAAACATTCCAACGTACCTGAAAACGAATTACACTTTTTTTAAAACGTCGGGCAATAGTGTAAACAATCGAAATAAATGCGGAAAGTATACACACACCACCCCACAATGCTGCGGACAACCGCATCTGCCCGACTCCTCACCCTAAAAGTCCATAAAACCCAGGGAAGCTTTAAGTGAATGTTGGTCTCACACTCGGCGAGGCAACTTGGCCGTGTTTTTGTTTGGCCCAAATCCCACAGATGAAATTTATGCCATACACCAAATGTGTGTGGGGGTAGAGTGATCACACAGTGGCGAGCACACCGTGCTACAAATAGTTCGGTTAGATTCCTGGCCCACGGCTAACAGCGGAGAGTAATATCTTAACCGATTCTGGGTCAGGCCCCAACTTTCCTCCCTCCTAACTTGACCAACCCACATAGACCAACCATCGTCGAGAATGGTCATACAGATCCATGACCGACACAGTGCGGGAGAATGCCTTCGACCCACGGTGGATTGACGGTTCAACGTTATTCGGATGATTTAGTTTCACAGGGCTCTTGCAATTGTTTGTGAATTACATTTCCAAGGTTGGCAAGTTACAATGAAAAAATGTTAATTAAAAGGTTGTTTCGCAAATTCACTTTATTGTGGTTTTAATGGCCATATTAAGGAATAGGTATCATGGGACCTTAGTGCCAGAATCAAAGTATGAAAAATAATAGATTTTACCCTTTATGGCAATAAAACAAGTGTTAAGATGGTCAAACATCGAGGGTAAAAGCGATTCTAATTTTTCATACTTTAATACTGGCAAAAAGGTTCCATGATATAGCTACTCACCTTAGCTATAAATGCTCTGATACGTGCATTGTCTTTGTGCTGTTTGTCTTTGTGCTGTTCGCCTTTTGGCGTTCTCTGGTCTGACACTGCTGAGGCTGAGCCCTAAAGAAGACTGTTTCTGGTGTAGGCCAATCAGTTTCAAATACAATGCATATATTATCAGTTTGTTTGCATGTTCACCACAAGTACGTGTGATTCATACTTGATTCCTTGATAAAGGAATAGGTATCACCACTAAATCATTACCAGTTCAGGTGGTACCAATCTCTGCTCTATCCAAAGCCCTAAGCCCGGTGCGTTAAATCTCTTAAAAACATTGGCAAATATCAAACCAAGTTCTGATCTCCAGTTTCAACGTTGAAACAAATGCTGCTGGTTAAGTCTGGAAGGCCAAAGCCTGGATGGCCAAGAAGACCGCGAGATAATCAATATGCGGAGACACGGGAAGGCAAATATATTACCCAGAATGCGTAGGTGTTTTAAAATATTCCGCAGGGCTGTTCTATCTTCATCATCGCAACTGTGAGGATACATGCCGACAGAGCTGTCCATGTCCAAGGGGTAGCAAAAACAACAACAAAGCTATTAAGTGGGCAAACGCCAACTTAATTTAGCGACTAAAAAAAACCCAAAACTAAACGTTTATATAGATTTTTTTTTTGGGGGGGGGGGGGGGGGGGGGGCGGTGGGTAGGAAATGTGACAATTTATCCAACCGTAAAAAAAAACCCGTGTTTAATAGCTACTTGAACTAAATTACAAACACTTTCTTCCTGTTCTTCGGCGAAGGCTGCGGCACAGTTCCGCCTGCTCGCTCCTCAGGAGCTTCTCGTCACGGCGGCCATGACGACGACGACGACGACGACGACGACGTACAAAACGGGCGGGACTACAAAGTTCGCTTTACGTTACATGCGGTATACAAAACAAACATTTTGCTCAGCAAATTATGCAACAGATTGTCGTTAGCTTTTATTGTATTTGCAGCCTGTGCGCAAACGCACACTCATTCAGTTGGCAGAGAGAGCCAGAGAGAGCGAGAGAGAGAGAGCAAGTTCGTCCTCGCGTCTAAACCCATCCATCCCGTCACGGGGCGTGATGAGTTGAGGGGACCACGACGCACGACTGGGTTGGGGGTTTATTTCAGCGGGCGCCTGAAGACAACACTGCAAGCCGTGTGGTGAGAGAGGGCAGGGTGCGCCGCATTAGCCAAGACACGCGTTCAGTTTATGAGCAATATATTTATTTATTCGGACGGCCGTCCCTCCCCCCCCCCCCGCTTCACCCCCTCCTTCCCCCTCCTCGTCATCCTCTTCGGTGGGCTAGGCATATCGCTCCGCTAACCGTGGTTCCAGCGGTCACGTGAAGCACCGCGAGAAAACTCCATCGACGCGGGCGACCGCGTGACCGTGCTGTCTCCCCGCCGTGCCCCCCCCCCCCCCCCCCCACCAGCAGTAGGGAGAAACCCTCTTTCGCCTACGTGAGTGGACGGGGCCGTAGGAGATAGACCAGTCAGGTGGCTGAGGGGTCGGGGGGGGGAAGGACCCACGGAGGGACCTACAGACCGAGCGGTTTAACGGAATTTGACGTGGGCCCCGATGCGAGGAACCAAATGGGGCCTTCCTCCCTACTGTCCAATATCCCCGAATCTTCATATCCTGGCACCTGGCCCCCCCCCCCCCCCCACCACCCCGGGCCCAGGGGGCTGCAGCGCGGCACGACGCGCCGCCTGCACCGCTCGAGAGGGCGACACCACCGAGTGTACGGAAGAACCTACGGACGGAGAGACCCACGGAGGGGAGCCCCTGAGCGCACGTCAGTAGCTGTAGGCATCTGCGTAGGTGGCGGCGCTCGCCAACTCCCCGACGTACGTGGGGGGGGGCGGCGGCGCCGTGGTGGTGGTGGTGGTGGAGTCGTCGAAGTGCGACAGCGGCACGGTGGTGCCGTCGCTGGGCGCTCTGCGGCACTCCGACTTCACGAGAGGCCGCTGGCCGTCCAGGAAGGCCTGCGAGAAGACCACCTCCGGGTCGCACACGAACTTGTAGACATACCGCTCGCCCGCCACCTGCAATGGTGGGGTCGGAGGGGGGTGGGGCGGGGGGGGGGGGGCTTTAGGGGCTGCAGTACAGGTCCTTGGAATTTCAGAATCAGAATCTTTATTTAGGCAGGAGGAATTTGATGAGCTATGGAAGCTCTTTTTTTTTTTAATAGATGCCCAGTATGGGACTGCACCCCTCCACACCTACAAAATGTGTGTGTGTATATATATACTGCTTAAGAATGGTTGAAATATAATGGAGCCCCCGTAATAGATCCTATTGGTAATTCGCGACGCTATGGCTCTATGTGTAATGTTACCAGTTATACAGTGAAATGTAATCGTTTGTTATTTCAATGTTGACTTAGTCTTACCATTCACGTAACCAAGGTCACTTCATAATTATTAGTGTTTGTTTAGTCACAGAAAGCGTCATGGAAAGCATCATGATTCTTATTTCAGGAGGGTGTTGTGGATTAATCGTGCACCTGAGATTTTGACAAATTAATAACTCATGAATTTTTCCCTTAAGCCCAAATTAATAATCTAAAAACAGTCATACATTCATTGTTATTCTTGGAAATGCTTATTACAAGTTACGTGCTTCGAACCGAACAAATGAGCTCTGGTTAATCCGAAATCCACGTGATCGCCTCTATAGTACAGTAGTTACATATCTTTACAACAGTGGGTGGAGATTGATTGATGTTGATTGGAGTGGCTCTTCTATAATACACTTCGTGGGCCGAGTCTTCTGCGTGGGAGGAGCAGGAAAGTCTTATCGCTGAGCACGCGCATCATAGACCGGTCGATCGTTCGCATTCGTTCTCAATCGAAAGAGTACAAATCGAAATCGTCAGTTGTGCTTCATTTTGAGTCATTTATCCGACCAAGTTTAAAATTCACCAAGATGTGCGATGGCAGAGAAAAGTAAATACTATTGATACCTACATGGGGAATTTGGCATACATTGATATTTTTGGATTGTTCGCAATTTTTTTATTATTCACGGCAGTCCTCCTCGTCATTTGTGTGGATAATCGAGTCGACTGCACTAATTAAGCACAGTCTCTATTATTTAACCAGGAGAGGAAATAAACCCTTTGAGACACGCGGAGCAGCAGCAGGATCTGCAAGGGAGCGAGATCCTGGGTCAAGACATTTTAAGTACAGGAAAGTACTTACAAACGTCTTAAATGTAACCAAGCTAGCCCAAGTGTTGACAATAATCTCATACACAATTTTAACAAGGCAAAGTAAAGAAGGAGCCAACAGCACTTTAATATTATAAAGAATGGAAGGCAACTTGTGGAAAGGAAAGTGACTCGATGGGACAATTAGGAGACAGTGCCATTTTAAGAAGGTTCTGAATCTACAAAGAGACCATCCCTAAAACGGTAACACCCATGCCCCCCCCCTTCTCCACCCACCCTTCCCCCCCCCTCCAAAAAAAGTAACATGGCCCAGTGTGCAGGCACGACGCGTTTGAGCAGTAATCTCGCGGGAACTTTCCAATTACGAACACGTGCAACAAAAACATTTAAGCTGAGAATTACAAAAAAAATGTATTGAAAATCGACATTTTTGCACGAGATGAAAAGGCGCCGAAACAACTTTTAATTAGTGATAAAAACTTAACCAAATCACAATAGAATTATCATTATCGTCGTTATTATTCTTTATGCAAGTGTCAGCGGCAGAAAAATAGCGGAATGCCTCTGGTGTCGCCGTCAAGACGCACTGGGGGGGGTGGGGGGTTCGTATTCTCACCGAATATATTCTGGGTCGCTAACATTCCAGGTGGCAGGTGACTAATAACACCGGTGTACAATTTTTTTAGACGTCGTCTGCTTCAGAGATGCAATGTGCTGTTTATTATGGATTTTGATGTGCTGAATTCAAATGTGACAATTAAAACAACTGATTAGCTACTGTTCCCAAGATATTTAAGTTTTTACATTTTACGTGTATGTATAGTGTAGATAGTAAGAGTTTCTCATAAATTCAGTTTAACACGTAGGCTTTCGTGACCAATATTATTCATAATAAAGGTTCTTGGGTTAAATCGCGTTATTTATAAATGTGTCGTAACCCTCCACCACCCGACATGGCCAAACAGTCAAAAATGTGTCACGTTTAAGTTTTCTCATAAATTGTAAACCTTTTCATGTGTTTATGGTTGCTTTACATGACAACGTGTCACGTGTCCTGTTCATGTAACACTTTAAACATCAGCAAAGGGGTTGTAGAGATAAAATGTATTATTAAACAAAAGGCAACAAACTATGACGTGTCTATAAGTACATAGTTTAGTCCTTAGTCAGTGTCTACTCGGAGCTTCTTGGCCTGTCTCTTGTATTCATTACATGGGGCATCTCTTGTCACTGTCCAGCAATGGTCTGCAAGCATTGATGGGCTCCGTTTGCCCTGAGAGCGTTTCTCCATTGTCGCAATGTCCTGGTGAAATCGCTCGCCATGCTCGTCGCTCACTGCTCCGCAGTTCGGTGGGAAAAAATCTAGATGAGAGTGCAAAAAATTTATCTTTCGTGACATGTTAAAAATGTATCTTTCGAGACATGTTAAAAATGTATCTTTAGTGACATGTTGAAACCAAGGCTTTTGTATGCCTTGAGGAGGTTTTCCACCAACTCCCTGCAGTTGTCTGCCTTGTTGTTTCCGAGAAAAAATGTTGCCACTAACTGGAAGGCTTTCCATGCCGTCTTTTCCTTGCCATGCAGTGCACTGTCAAATGCATCATCTCGAAGTTCACGAATCTTAGGACCAACAAAGACACCATCCTTTATCCGAGCTTCACTTAACCTTGGAACTTTTCAATGGAGGTACTTGAAAGCTACTTGTGTTTTGTCCATGGCTTTGACAAAGTTCTTCATCAGACCCAGCTTGATATGTAAGGTTGGCAATAAAATCTTCCTTGATTCAACAAGTGGTGGATGCTGAACACTTTTCCTCCCAGACTCCAATGACTTTCAGAGTGGCCAATCTATCTTGATATAGTGAGAATCTCTCGCACGACTATCCCATTCGCAGAGAAAACAGCAGCGGTACTTTGTGCATCCAGTCTGCAGACCAAGCAAGAGAGCAACAACCTTCAAATCGCCACAAAGCTGCCACTGATTTTGGTCAATTTATGCACCTCAAAAGTTGTTTCATGTTGTCATATGTTTCCTTCATATGGACTGCATGACCAACTGGAAATGATGGCAAAACTTTGCCATTATGCAGCAAAATAGCTTTAAGACGCATCTTCGATTAATCAGTGAACAGTCTCCACTCATCTGGATCATGAACGATGCTGAGGGCTGCCATCACGCCATCGATGTTGTTGCAGGCTACAAGATCACCTTCCATGAAGAAGAATGGGACAAGATCCTTTTGACGGTCACGGAACATGGAAATCCTAACATCACCTGCCAGGAGATTCCACTGCTGCAGTCTGGAGCCCAACAGCTCTGCCTTACTCTTGGGTAGTTCCAAATCCCTGACAAGGTCTTTCATTTCACATTGTGTTATGAGGTGTGGTTCAGAGGAGGAGGAATGGGAGAAAATCTGGGTCATGTGACCTTGATGGTTCAGGACCAGAAGTTTAATCCCTCTTCCTCGTCTGACTCAGGTGAGAATGATTCTGGTGCATCAGGAACGGGCAGTCCTTCTCCGTGGGGTACTGGGCGTATGGTTGATGGAATGTTTGGATAATGCACAGTCCACTTTTTCTTCTTTGACACCTTTCCCAACTGGAGGTGCCATGCAAAGTAACAATTGTTGAAATGATATGTTGACCCTCTCCAAATCATTGGCACTGCAAAAGGCATATATTTCCTTTTCCAGTTCAACCACTGGCGAAGATTTATTGCACAAGTGTTGCACAGCATGTGTGGGGCCCACATCTTGTCCTGATCTCCAATTTTTCAGCCAAAATAAAGGTGATAGGCTTTCTTCACCATAGTGGTTTTCCTGCACTTTTGTGATGAGAACGTCACTTCACCACAAACATAGCAGAAGTGATCTGCTTTGGTCACACAAGTACGAGGCATCTCTGCTCACTTTGGCTCAACAGAAATGTGTCCCTTTGCAAAATCAAACACTGACAAATAAGAGAGCACGACACTGTATGATTTCTAGAGCTGATATAGGGCAATTTGTTCAGCAGAGGGATGTAAGCCTAGTTATGATTGTATCATCCATGACTTCGAGGAATAACATGATGCAATTCATATCATGTATGACACAATACCAGGTTCAGATTGCATCATTCATTGTTTTGCTCAAAAAGCAAGTACTGTCATAGATTTATTCATAGATCCAGTCAAAGATATATTTGAGTCATTTCTGGTTTAAATTGAGATCCCTTCACTTTATAACTCACGTATCCATACTCTCACGTATCCTCCGCCATTTCCAAGTCAAGTGTCGTATATCCTGACCCAGTAGCATATCTTGAAAACTAGAGCCAACCAACAATTTTAAGCATCATTTTCATTCTTAGCGACTCAGAATGAGTAAAGTTGGACTACATTTATTTCGGAAGCATTTTGGCTGTAGACCAGTGCAAGTAATGGGCGTAGCGCGATAAATGCGCTGGATGACGTGTGGTGGGTGCGTAAATATTCTCCGGGTTCCCGAACCCCGCTGAAATTAATCTCTTTGATGAGGACGCGTGTCGCCTGTGCTTGCACGTGCCTTCTGCATGATGCCCTTCTCGTAGTAGTACCGCAGGGAACGGCTCAGCTTGTCGTAGTTCATGGCTGGCCGATTCTTCTGGATGCCCCACAGCCGAGCGACCTGTGCAGGATGAAGCCGTGTTTAATTAACTGGTCACCAAGCATTCAAGGGGAGATACTAACATCTGGAAAAAAATTGCTGCGTTTAGTAAGTCTCTCCTTGCTTTTATCGATTCTTTGTCAATACTCCGACCGCTCCCTTCGTCGAAAAACAAATTCCTTCCAAAAAATTAAGCACGCAACAACGAACTTCACCACGCACGAGCTGCCCGGGAGACCGCTAAAGCTTGTGTGTGCGTGCGCGCCCGGGCCAAAAGAGAAAGCGGCAAAGTTGACGAGAAGAACAAAACAATTCACATCTGGACCACTAATTTAAATATGCCACCATCTGAAGAAATAAAGAGCTTATTGAAATGGCTCGTAATTACAGTGAATGTTTCAGTTGTTTTTGGTTACATCAATTCTTAACACGAGCAAGTGTTGCTAGAAATAAATTAATAACTACTCCTGAAAGGAAGTCAGTGGTTCCGTGGTGGATTATTTTTTATTTTAACCGACTTGAGTCTAGGGGCCGGAATTCGCCCACGGTTGTCTCGGAGACTGTGGGTAACACCCAGTGGAAGGCATTGGCAACAATGTTACCAGCAATCCGCTCATAATTGGGATCAGAAATTGTTATGGGCATAGTTGTGGGGGCAGAGGTAAAATATTTTGTATTCAATCTAATTCATGGTCAAGAGCGCAATGAGAATTAGCCAATTTTGTGGTCAATGTTTTACTGTCAGTCTTGCTGGATGTGAAACAAAATCAATTCAGCCAGCAGCCAGGACAGTGGCAGCCCCCTTTGCACTCGTGGTGCTGTAAGTAAATTCAGCTTCACAAAGCCACAATCAAGGCTCCAACCGTGGAGTTTGCCAAACAACCCAACATAGGGCCCACAGAGCTTGGGCAATTGTTGGTGCCGGTTCTGTGGGTTCCCGCACATCTGTGCGAAAAGTGCACGCATTACAAAATTCTGCAGAATTTGGAGATGCAATTGTTGCTATTGAAATGTATATTGATAAGATGCATTTTTGCTTATACATTTTGAAGGAGCAATACTAGTTACTCGTAATAGATATATGAAAAGATAAAATATGTACATATATGAAAAGCGGTAGACAATAGATCTTGCAAATGAAAGAGACGTTTATGAGGATAGATGTTTTTTTTACGAGGTGGAGCGGTCGCGTAGTGGATAGTGCATTGCGTGTGCACTGTGATCTGTCTGGGAAATAGATCCGGGTGTGTATCTATTTCCCAGACGGACCCGGCTGAAATGAAAAAACCCGTGACAGCGCTAGTAGCAGTTACCTCCTCCGGGTCGAGCAGCTTGAACTCCATGCCGCGCCCAGTCCACACGATGGTGCCGGCATGGGCCGGGTCCTCCAGCAGCGCCACCAGGAACTGCCAGAGTTGCAGCGAGCCACGGCGTGGGTACACGGGCGGCAGGCTCTCGCGGAACCCACAAACCTCGGGCTTCACGTCCCCACCTGCCACGCCACAGCACCAGCAAGATTTAGACTGGCGCGCTTTAGGCCACAGCCCTGTAGGCCAGAGCCCTTCACGCCAGCGTGCACATCAAAACATCTACACGCTGCGTCTTTCCATGACCCGCAGAGAATGCGAAGGACTGCCCTCTGACCAGACTGCATGGAGGACTGAGAGCTCTGAACACTGCCTATGACGATGATGCTGGGTTGCCTGGCCAGGCCAAGTAAGTACGTGAGAGAAGAAGACTGTTCTACTTCTGGAGTCCATGGGCCCGAACAGAATTTGGTACCCAAATTCGGTAACTCTAGAGGTGTCAAATGATTGAGTGACGCCAGTTTGTTTATGTGGCTAATTAATGTGGATTAATTTGCTTGCTTAATTGTTCCATAAAAAGTGTTTTCATAATTCAAAGAAGTTGGTACGACTTAAGCTTTGCCATCGCAGGTAATACTAAGTGAACTATTTGGTATGGGCCCATGTGGACTGACACGACAGCGCAGGTCCTCGCGTTCGTGCCATACGGCTCCCCCGGATGTGGTTCCCGGTTGTGTTGCATTGCTCTTGTTGTTCGGCACGACGTCTGACGTTTGGCTACTGGGAGCTTCTTCGATCGAGTTCGTGAACAAGCGCCAAGCCCGTGGAGCAAAGCGTTGGAGATCGTGCCAAAACAACATGCAGCACAACCCCAAAACTACAACAATGAATATCCCCCACGTTTTAAGAATCTACGTAGACACGCATGCACGCACGCACGCACGCGGAGAGTTAAAGGCAAAAAAATAAATTTGCCCCAGGAGTCTACAATCGGGGACCTTTGTTTTTGTATGCCGAGCACATTGTGGGTATTGCGCATGTGAAAGCCAGCACAGCTCGTGAGCGGTGGTCGTCCTGTGTACTTGAATCTGTTTTCACTTTGCATTTTGAAAGCTAATCTAGAATTGAAAACACGAAATACGATGCCATGAACGCACCCTCAAACCGGTCTGGTACGACACAGGCATCGTCATAGTACGACCTCCCTTCCTTCTCGTACATGAACGCTGCACGCAGACACACACAACAGTAAGTGGAGGAGACAGGGTTAGACGCGTCACCAAGTGAGCACAAAACAAAGGCAAAGTTCCCCCGTATAGCCTTAACATACTGTTGGGGCAAGTGCTGTTAGCAAGTAGCACCTATGAAGGCCAGAATGGTACACGAGGGGGTGGGTGGCCAGCGCCACGCCCGACCGCCTTTGTCTCCCCAGTGGCGATTTTTACACACCAGGTACTCATTTGCGGCTGAGGCGACCTATGGGAGGCCCAGGACCGGTTCAGATAATCATCACTGGTGTTGGCCGTGAGCGGGAATCGAACCCCGGGTCGCCGGGTTCGTAGCGCAGTGCGCTAACCGCTAAACTACCGCTCCCCACGTTAGTGTAGCACACACACACTCACACACTCCTCCTCTACACAGACAACAATTACGAGCACACTGGATGGCTTGAGAATTGCTCGAGCGGGGAGTGGGGGGGGGGCGGCCCAAACGATCACCGATTCCAATTAGCCGTGTTGCGAGCGAGCCTCAGATGCGCCGCCGCCGCCGGCCGGAGTTGTCGCACAAGACACCGCTATCTGCCGCCGCACCGAAGCGCTTCATTCCCAAGTGTCAACAACCGCACTAGAGTGGGGGACCGCGGAGGGGGGGGGGGGGGTTTCGAGGCACCGCTTTTCTGGTCACCCAATCCGGCGGTCAAACACGCGGCGTGGGTTCTGCACATTTAATACGACGACGTAAAGCACCCCCCCCACCCCCATCAAAGCGGGGGCTCTAAAAATAACCTGCCGACTCACTGACGCCGGTGAGTCATTCGTTTAGAACGATGACTCAAGAGCCACGACGACGAGGGCGCGAGTATTTTTCAAGAGCGGCCACCTACGCCACCGCCAGAGGCATAGCCCGGCGCAGCCTTCGGCGGTCATGCTGGGTTGGACCGCGCATTACTCGGCAAGGCGGAGACGCCTCCCGGCACGGGCAGCGAAACGTCGGGCATCGTGCTGAACAACACGCAGCGGTACCGTCCCAAAAAAAAACGTCGGAGGCAGCTGCCACTGTTAACACTCCTACCTGTCTTGCTGTGAACAAGGCACCATTGCCCAAAAATGTCACCGGTGACATACATTTAAGGCAGCGTTATTGCCGAATGTATGGTAGGCCAACGCTTTAATTAGCAATTTATTATTACCACTTCCCATTGTGGGCACGGGTGCAAATCTTGATGCCCGTCGCCGCAATCAACGGTGCCGACGGAGATTAACAAAGGCAGCAACTATCGTGAATTGGAAGCCAAGGAGCTGTGGGTGGGCGGGGGGGGGCAGGGGTTGGGGGTGGTGTGGGGGAGGGGTACTGGGTGGTTGACAGGGGAAGGGGTGAGCAGCAGCTCATTGCCGCCGACCGACCTTCGCTGTGTTTGGAGTTGGTGAAGCCGTCCCCACCCATGTACATCGGTGGGCAGCTGGGCATGTCTGTGCAATTGGAAGGGGTGGCAGGGAGAAACACACATCGTTATACGAGGTCGCAATCATCAAACGCAAAGTACGTGCCACGAATGAACCACAATACCTTGGCGGTCTCGTCAAGGAGCGTAAGCCACCACCACCACGCAAACTCCGGCCGTCATCCTCGCAGCAGCCGCTTTTTGCCTGACCATCGAACAAAGACGGTCACCGCATCGCGCGCATTCAGATGCGCTTCCGTGGCCATCTGGAATGCTCTTTCTTCCGATATTAAGAAGCCACCGAAGCTAGGCGCCTTTAACTCATCCAGATTGAAAGTTAATTTCGCTAGAACTGCTTTTATTGCGCTCGGTTTGTTGCCCTTCCGCCGCACCTCCGATTAGAACGGACGGCTACGTATCGTGCGAAAGAAGTTCAATGTGCATGCATCACGTGTCTGCAAGTCTGCACGTGCAAACACGTACAAACATGCGGGCAGCGGCAAGGCGGTGGTTAGCGTCCAACGCTCTGGGTCGACTCGTCTTAAATGTGGAGCTGTTGCGGCATGTCCACACGAGTGTTGGGCAGGCACAGGAGGCCGGGGCTAACAGCACTTACCTCAACAGTCCCTTCTGGTTTCAGGGGGAACGTTGGTCTCTGTCCTTTGTCTTTCTATATACAAAGTCAAAGATCCCCCGTATAGGCCTGTAACAGACTGTTGGGGCAAGTGCTGTTAGCGAGCACTATGAGGCCGGCATGGCACACGAGGGGGTGGGTGGCCAGCACCAAGCCCAGCCGCCTTTGTCTCCCTAGTGGCGATGTTTACACATCGCACCAGGTACTCATTTGAGGCCGGGTCGACCTATATATATATATACACACACACGCTGTAAACTGAAGTTGGATCCAGTCGTCGTTATAATAAACGCAGCAGCGATAAACGTCACAGAGGAGCGGGCACGCTGCCCAGCACGAGGACATCAAGAAAGTCACAGGCAAATCGACGATGCGCGCTGGTGACGCTACGACGCTTATCTCATGATCCGGAGATCGCCGAGTTCAAAGTTCAAAGTTCAAATCCACGGAGGAAAGGGGTCGGGGAGGGCGCGGTTTAAGGCGACCCATCACTCATCCAGGGTCAATAAAATGAGCACTAATTTGTAGGAATTCAACAGCTGTTGTTCTGTGGATGAAGCTGCCCCCCCCCCTCCACCATAGAAACGTGGAAGTGCCCAGGGTCGCCAACGGACACGATGCAGTGTCCCCGTGTTCATTTTCGCGCAGGAAGAATAACACAGAATCATCGCGAAGGTCACTCCTGACAGTCCCGAGTCGTCCACAAAGGCAGATGCAACGACTGGAATTGGAGGAGTCGAGCGTGCCGCCAACGGTGCCACACATCGTTACGATGGCTCCACGTTTCTCAAGTAGTGGCAGAAGGGTGGGGGGGGAGGAGGGTTAACGTGGCCTTTGGCTGGGGAGGGGCCGAGGGTTAAATTCTTTTAACCAAGGCGGAGGGAATGGGGGGTGGGGGGTATGAAAAAGACAGGGAACAAAATAAAAGGAGAAAGGAACAAGAGAACCACACCCATCTGACTCCGTCATTGTTCTCGACCGTCTGCCGTCCGTCGCCCCCGTTGTGCGATTCGTTTGCACAAAATCGCCAACGAGCAATTCTACGTGCCGCGAGCGTGAGGATCGATTTTTGTGAAATCGACGAGTTGCTTGCACGTGTTTCGGGCGCCGTGGTGGCGTGATGTTAACTCCCTCACCTGGAACGGCTGATAATGATGGTGCTAGCTGATGAAAGAACACTTGTTTGCTGTATTCGAAAAATCGACACACGATGCTGCCCATGGTGTCTGGACTTGCAATCGAGACGTCGCCGTTTTGATATCCCCAAGCGGCGGTTAAAACGACGGTGCAAGTTTCTCAAATCCCTTCGCCTCTGTCCACCCAGCAGCAACAGACATGGCTACGGCATAGCTAGTCACTGGGCAGGTTGCGTGTGGTGGGGTAAAGATTGTGGGTACTCACACCTATTCGATCCCGACCCTGACGACTGTCTATTTTTGAGTTTGAGCGTTCTCCTAGGGGGTCGTGTGGAGCTTTCTCTTGGCCCTCCAGTTTTTTTTCCCTTCCACATTTAGAATCAACAATAATTTAGGATATTTGGGAACAATAAAACACGTTTGCAGAGAGCGCTTTTGTTTCTGTGGCATTCATCCCAAGTTTTGGTGAACCGTTTGATCGATTTGGTCGGTTTTTGAGTGGCCAAGTCCCGAACAGGAATACCTTAACACTTTAAGTTTTGTTGATAATATCCCAGTCGCGGATCGTCTTTAGGAGAGTCATCGCGCAGCCTCACGCACACCCCATGCCGCATTATGCACCGATATCCAGACAGGGCTGAAACTCGGCGCACAAGTGTCATGATATCAAACGACAGCGGTCATCCACGAAGTTGATTTTCCAGGTAGGCAGCCTGCAGAGAGAAGTGTGCACAGAGGGACGTGGAGCTCTCCATTCTTAACAAGTGTCTTGGATTTAGAAATGTTCCGAACATCAGATGGAATAAGCTTAACGCACGAATGGAAATGCAACTCGGTGCCGCTGCCTTGTTCGGGAACAGATTCCCACGTCTTGGGCTGCTCTGCCAAGCGAACGCAGAAACCACAGCGGCGCGGTTTTTTCTTTCTCCAAAACTGCTGCCCCCCCCCCCCCCACCACCTTAGGTTACATTTTTAAAAACGGCACGATTTTAAAATTAGCTCCACGAGGCTAGATAACGCACATCTCCCCCCCTCTATCCGCCATGTCCACGCAAGCGACTGCAATTTGTTTGGAAATCGGTGATCGCTAACGTTGTGCCAACCGCTCGTAAGTGGGAGTGCAGTCATCACGAGCTTCTTTCGCCCAGTGCCACTGGCAAGGCCAACCTCAGCCACGCACCTCCCCGCTTTGAAGCTAACGAGCTTGACGGCAAGGCGCCCCCCCCCCTCCCCACCGCTCCCTTCCCCGGATACTTTTTTTTATTCAGCGAGACAAGGCGGATCAATAATACGCCCTTTTAGGACATTTGAGCGGTTTTGCCGGGGGAATCCGATATCCCATCAGCTAAGCACTGCGCCGTTTCATGCACTCGTGAGCAAGATGCATCTCAACCAATAGAATTGACCAAATATTGGGTGCGGCGGGGGGGGGGGGGGGTGCTTAACGATGCCAGAGAAATCAGCGCAGCGGTCAAACCCATCCGGCCGCTCGCCATTCTGCGAGCCGCCAAGACAGCCAACGCCCGCCCGCTCGCCGATCAAACGAGGTGTGGACGGCTGACGGGAGGGGCCGAGGGGGGGGTAAGGGAAGCTGCGGGGGGGGGGGGGGGGTGGTGGGATCGGTGGAGAGTGGACCCAGACATATGTAACCCACCGAGTAAAGTTCTGCACTGCAACTCTGCTCGAGGACACAGACATTCGATGCTCTGCTCTCCCCAGCACGACACGGGGCGGGAGTGGGGGGGGGGGGGGGGGGGTCGCGTCTCGATACGAGCAGCGATTTGCTGTTATCAATGTCGTTTGTTTTCACCCTCTCGTTCGTATCGTTTTCTCGCCATTCCTGTCCGTCAATGCAGTTTTGCTCGCTCCAAGAGCACAAACGTAACATTCGTGGGACGTTTGCATAAGCAGCAAGCGACCAATTCTTAAACGAGTGGTTCGACGCTTGTTATTCTGGACATAATATTCGATTTCGGTTGAAAAAATCTACCCGCCGTGACGTGGCCGCTCATTGCCATCACAGACGTCCCCTGGTGTGCTCCAGCCCGGTGGGGAGGGTGCTCGCATTGCTTGGGCGTGGTACTCAGCAGCCGTTGCCACGCATTCACCGTCACACAATCTATTACTATTTTTATTTGACCAGGTAGGGCCCAACGAGCTCAACTAAGTGGCTTATGACGTGGACATTAATAGCAGGCAGCCGAATACTTAAACGCAAAATTTAGAGGGAAAAAAAAACGGAAGATCCACACGACTAGGGTTAGGATCGAACCCACGACTTCCTGATATACCAGGGCGGGGTAGTTAACATCTCACCACCATGGCCCAATCCACCATGGTCGCACGACACTTTTCCCGTGGGCCCCATACAACCCACCGGTGGCTATTGTCTTGTTGCACTGTCAACCCCAGGCATTCGTTTTTGCCACTGGTAAAGGAATAAGGAAATAGGCAACCAATTATGATACAATTACAATAACTTATTTACCCTGGAGAGCCACAGAGATTCCAGAGACTCTTTTTCAGGAGGGTTCTGGATTGAGATGTTTGGCCAACACCAAATATAATTTATGTTTTCAGCTATGGGGAGGAAGCCAACGAATGCAGCGCAAACCCATGCAGAACAGGGCGAGAACATACAGACTCTCCCCGCAGAGAGGCGCCCGAGTCGGGAATCAAACCCAGGTCCCCCTTCTTGTTTGCGAGGCGCAAGTGTGTTACCGCTGCGCCACCGTGCCGCCCCCCATGGCTGCCATACGGCGCATGGCAAGTCGACGTTGGGTCCACGTCGAGTCGTATGTCGCCGTGCTAAGGGCTTGAGGGGAAAAATCTGCAGTTGCATGATTGACTATGTGGGTGAAAGATAAATGCTACAGAGGAAGTTGGCGATTGCAGAGTTCTTTTTTCTCCCTCCTCCCTCCTCCTCCTCCTCCTCAGTCAAATGGCGATTTGACTGAGGCAAACTCATTTATTCAAGATTGAAAACGCATTTCTTTCCAACTGATTTTTACGTTCAGTTTGTGGTCCTTTCCCTGTACCGTCGATTAGCACGGTTGGCTACGTGCGAAATTAATTCAACATGCATAACATAGAGTTGGAACATTTCGGCGAGCGGTGCACCGCCCTCTGCATGAGAGAAAGTCCCCCGCAAGATGACTACGACACGGGACTACTTCTGAGCTCACCTTCAAGGGGCGTCTCTCGCCACCCTATGAGGCGCACCGCCAAGACTTTTTGTCGCATGTTAAACTATTTCAGCCGTGAGAATATTTGCATTCATGAATTTAAGTGTAACTTACGCTTGTGAACATGGTTTAAATGCGCACGACCGAGTCATGAATAGGGGCTCGGCAAATCGTTCAATGTGTGAAGTCTGCCAAGTGGGTGGCTTTAGCGACGTTCATTTCCACCGGCCAAGTGAGGCGCTTTTATAACTGCAAACTCTTCACCAATGAAAGTGTCTATTTCCGCCTTGTTTAGGACCAAGTCACAAAACCACCTTCACGAATACAAGTAACAACGACATAAACTATAACGGCAGCCAACAACGGAAAAGCTGTTCTAAGCACGCACGGACAAACGGTCAAACCAAACCGGTTGCACAGCAGTAGCCCACCTCCTCCACGACGCTCACAGCCAATTACGGAGATGTTGTTAAACACCCGCGATCTCATTAGCGAAGCAGCTGTTAATAAGGCACACGCTCGCTCACCCATCTGGTAGGGGCACTCGTTCCTCTCCTGCTTGATGGAGACGGGAGGAGGTTGGAAAGGGGGGGGTGGCCCCCCCCCTAGTGTGTGGTGCGTGCGGCCGTGGGGGTGCTGGCGGGGAGGCCCGGGGTACAGCTCCTCCCCGGGATATCCCTGCGGCCCCACGTACTCCTGCTTGAGGCCGCCTGGGGGCCCCTGCGGGGGAAAGGGGCCCGCCGAGAGTGGCTCCGACGCCTGGCGGTGGAACTGCGGGCAGCCGGAGCGTGCCACGTGCAGCGGGAATGGAGGGCACGGATCCGACAGCTGTCGTTGCAGCCTTGGAGGTCGGGGGGGGGGGGGGGGGGTCAGAGAGGGGAGGTGGAAATCAACACCGAGGCATGAAATATGCGGATTTAATTACTTAACTTCTTTTCAACAGATGCTTGGGTAGTTCTGTAATAATATTATAATATCACCCATCTGCATTATTATGCGCTTCACTATTGACAGGTGTCGATGCGTAAATTACGCGTGTAACCTGCTGGCCGTTGGAACATGTGACCGTTGGGCCGTGGACAAGCACGGTTCCCCATAAATCATGATTCACCACTCCAGCGATTCGATTGTCATGATTACGGTTATGATAAAAAAAACACAATTATTGTCACTGATTTTCCCCATCTCTTGGTTTTGCTCCGTCTCTTTGCACAGAACTGGTCTCCATTAGCCTGAACGTAATATCAACAACTCATTTGCACATCGTCTGCAAAAATCGTAAATAATTACATTCTCACATGCTCAATTGGCCACACGTATCGTGAGCGAAGCGATGCATTTTTCATCGCCGAATATTCCAGCGTCAATACCTCGACGACACTCTAACCCCAAGTTCAACGAATCGCCACGGCGGATCCTCGTTCTATCCACGCCGCGACTGCGCCCTGCAACCAGCATCCACTCACGACCCCTGACCCCCACCCTCTGCCCTCTGCCCCTTGTGGCGGGTGTGGCTCACCGGCCGTCCTGGTAGAAGGCGCTCTCGGCCGGGTTGGGCAGCGTCGCCGCCACGTTGCTGTAGCCCTGTGACGGTACCGACGAGGATGAGGAGGAGAAGGATGCGCCGGGCTTGGAGCGCGTGGGCGACGGAGACGGCGCCGCCCCCGCCGGCCCCGGGGGCCGGGACGGGGGCCCCGACACGGCCGCTAGCGCCACCGGCCCCGGGGCCGCCGCGACCGTTGCCGGCGACGGCTGCAGGGGAGACAGTGCGGGCGTGCAGGTCGGCGTCGGGGTCCCCCCGAGCTTCAAGCCTTCGGCACCGCCATTCTGCATGTAGGCGCTAATCGCGGTGGACACGTGGGGTGGGGAGGGGGGGGTTTGAAAGGGGAGCGAGTTTGGAGGAGGTGGCACGTTACTAATAGCCACAGCCGTGGCGAGAGATATGCTGTACGTTGTATGCTGGGTGCTGAAATAAATCAATATTTTCCGGATTCTTGACCCGCACGGACCAGGTGTGAATGCAGTGGTGGTGCAATGTATGTAGGTTGAACTTCTTTCGCACCGTACGTAGCCAACCGTGCTAATCGGAGGAGGTGCAGTGGGGTGCGGTGCGACACGACGCTCCTCACTTGGGACTGGCGAGGTTAGGCGAGGGATACGCGAGGCGCGGCGGTGGCTCCTGGCTGCAGGCGGACGCCGGCCCCAGGCACTGGCTGGGAGCCTCCTTCTTCACCTTCACGAACGGCGCGTGGAACGCCACTGGGCGGGGGAGAGAGGGTCATGCGAATGGCACTCAGGGAAGGCGCCGCTGGCAAACAGGTACAGCGCAAATGGTGGGGGGGCGGGGGGCGCGGGAGTGGCGGGGAGCCCCCCACAATCGTGAGGAATCTCGGTTTGCCTTACTCAGTTGTTTTTTTTTATCCGCCGTGAAGAAAAAGGGATTTATTTTTGTAGAAACAAAAACATGCTTAAAATAGTTTTTTTTTAAAAACTATATTTCTCTGGATGTAATGACAAAAAAACATTGCAAAGACAAGCCAGCGTGGCAACGTGTAATTGAGTCGTTTCACATTTGTCACTCAGTCATTGCCACGTTTTTATTCTCTCAAAAGAAATCCATTAAACTGCATCGCTTGACAACGAGCAGTTTCAAGCTCAAAAAATATGCCACGGCGTTTTTGTGACTTGCAAGAAATGCTTCGGTGCATGAGCGATCAACTTTTCCGCAGGCATCAAAACAATCGCTCAGTGAGAAACATTAATTTCGATAAAAAAAACCCAATGAAACCTTATTTAACGGCACGAATTTCCAGACTTACAACAACAACAACAACTCTCCCCACGCATGAACGGACGCTCTGTGCCGACACCGCGGCTGCCGTCGCAGCTCCCTCGCACGGGAAGGGGAGGTGTGCGCGCTTGCCGACTGACGTCGAGAGAGATCGCTGGTGGCTAGCCACCTGCGCGGATGAGCCAACTGCGCAAACATTCTGCGCGGTGTGGCACACAATGCCGCGCACACGCACCCAGCGACCGCGCCGCCTGCTCGTGCTCGCTCGTTCCCCACTCGTGCTCCGGTTACTTGGCAGGGGCCGTGTTTAATTTTGCATCACCGGCGTCAATCGCCGTCTCTGTGCGGCGCGTCGTGGCGGTGCACGGAACAGATGTTTGCCAGCCTGCGTTATTAATCCGTGACCCCCCCCCCTTCCACCCTCCCCCGTAAAACAAAACGAAATGGGGTGCGATAAACAGGGAAGTAGCATGGCAATTTGGCGAGGGGCCATGGCTGTAGGCATTCTGCACCATTACTCATTGCCTCGTTAGCTCTCCTCTAATCTGCGCTCTAATAACGCTCGTTAGGCCGTACAACGGGGTCCTGCTGCTCTGTGCAGACTCGCGGGACAGGAGCAGAAGCGCTTAGCCGTGGCCAGGTCTGGCAAAAGGCGAATGCATCCCATTATCTGTTGCGTGCGCAATCCATTATCTGTTGCGTACGCAATGCGTTGGAGGCCTATCTGAAGTGTGTCCAGTTCAGCATTTTTTTTTTCTCCCCCCCCCCACCCCACTGTGGAGATTACATTAAAGTTTGTGGGTTCCTTGCTACTCGATGTTAGGAATGGCACTCATTTGGCCATGGCATTCAGGGAGACGTAGTCGGGACAACACCACCAGACAGCGCTTTTATCCGAGAGCCTTTGCGAGCGCCATTATGATGCTGTTAAACGCAACCTGCTGCCACCCGATTTGTGTTATTTATAACGGAACATTTATAACGAAGCCATTGATCCTGGCCGACTTAAAAAAATTGCGTGAAAATGCCAAAGCTAATGTTTTTGTCCGTGTCTCACAGTCTCTCAAAACCGTGGCCATGTTTTTGGTTTTTATTTCGTAAGGTTTTTCAACTCTGAACACCGCACCACGCCGCGCCTACCGGCATGGCAACAAAGAACGACCGGCAGCAGCAGCAGCATCAGCGGCCGCAGCAGTGGCAAGGACCCAAGAGAGTCGGGCAGCAAACGGCACAAACATCACGTGCACCACATTGAACACGGCGGCAAAGTATGTCAATAGTACAGTGCCGCTAATCAATGTCATCTCTTACAAAAGAAAAATAAAACCCCTTCAAGGTCACACGGCATGTACCGATGATGCGGCTGTGCCAGGAGGACATCAGCAGCACGAGTTCCATAAATGGAGACGCGGTTCTCCGTATCTCCGATCTTAGCCGGCGGGCGATGACGCGCAGGATGTTTACAGACCCCCGTAACCGCAGCGTCAACACGGCGGGCTGACCTTTACGGGGCAGCAGCGACTGAGAGCTCGACCTTCAAACGCAACCCTCTCTCTCTCTCCCTCTCTGTTGGGCATTCTTCAAGCCCCAGCGCTGCCATCGCCATCGGATCCGTTCAACTTCAGCTGCTGCCACGACCGCCAACCGGTCTGTAACCATTTCATAAAAAATGCTACCGAACGGGTTGGAGCGGTGGGGTGCCACTGGCTATCGGGCTGCGCTACGAGGCCAGTGAGCAGGGTTAGATTCCAGGGCCACGGCTCACGTCGGTTGGCGAGCAATGTTTGAACAAGCCCTGGACACCTCCTTCTCTGGTCCCGTTCACCGACCGGCGCGTTGGAAAAAAAAAAGAAATGGTTTCCAATCCAAGAACGCTACGTTTTTGTTTTCGTTTAAATAATAAATGTTGCCGCACATTATCAGGACTAATTATACCCCCTCTCCCCATCTCGGCTGGTTGTGGAAATGTTCCATAATGTATTCCCTTTTGGGGAAACGCGCCTAAAAAAAAAAATAGTTTTACGACCTCCAGCCCAAGCCTGCAGTTTCTTCGGTTGACTGAAACCAGACACGTGAACCCCCCCCCACCACCCCGGCCACAAAGGACTTCATTCATAAAGTGGGCGCAGCGTGCAGCGGCAGGCTGCGAGCCTCCGCAGCCCAAAGTCCATTCACAAAAATCCCTCCACCCGCAAGCTCACTTCCCGTCCTCCTCCTCCTCCTCCCCACTCAAGCTGTCAGCAATCAAAAACCTCCTGGTGCTGCTGCTGCCCCCTCCGAAAACAAGCAGCGTCGGTGCGGCCCAGGCAGGCCTCGCTCACACACGTGGATGACAAGAAAACACGCGGGGGATGCGTGGCCCCGGCGCGTACGCGACAACGCTGGACGGCTGGATTTCTTTCAAACGTCGCACCGCGTACACAAGCACAGATGGAGAAGGGGATGTCGTGCGTGCATGTTGGGGTGCAGAGGCGCAGTGGTTAGCGCACCGCACTGCGAGCCCGGCTACCAGAGTTCGATTCCCACTCCGCAGCCAAGGGCAGTGATGATTATCTGAACCAGTCCTGGGTCTCTAAGTGTGACTCGGCCTCAAACGAGTACCTGCAGCGGTGCGTAAATATCACCTTTGGGGGGAAATTGATGAAAACGATGAAATGCTGTTCATGTTTAAGTGAATTGAGGGAACAAGAACCGCTCAAAACAAGAAGAAAATGTGAAATGATGCAATTAAGGTGGCAAAAAAATTATAACTGGACGCTCGCAATCGTGACATTCTGCTGAAGCGCTCACTGTTCAGGGTCGGGGCGGCGAGTCATTATGTGCCCCGAAATCAGTGAAATCCAACGGCACACAAACGACAATGTGGAATTTGCACCACTGGCAGACTGGTCGCTAATAGCGATGAGCAAGGCACTAACAACTAATTTAAGAAAGGAGACACTCGAACTTTTGGACTTTTCTTCTGCACTCAGAGATAGATGCATCCACACGCAAAATAAACGGGCACGTGTTGGTGGAGGAGAGATGGAGAAGATGCAACGGTGAAGAGAGCTGTGGAGATGCCACCGGTGAAGGGCAAGAAAAGTAAAGAGAGAGAGACGGGGGTGGGGGGGGATAAACGAGGTGGATGAACGAGGAAGAACAAAGAAGAGTAGCAGCACATTGGACAAAAAAAACATTCTGAAAACCTGCCCCCCCCCCCCACCCCAGAGACCGAGCGACCGCTCCCCCCCCCTTCTCGTGTCCCCCCTCCCCAATCGATGGTCTTGAATCGTCGTCACACACCTTGTTTCACGGTACGGTCCACACTCTCACCGCGCGTCCACTTCAAAGACTCGGGACGCCTTTGGACCAACGCACGATCGCAAAAGTGACAACGAGCGCGCGCGTTGCTCGAGGAGGTAGACATCCGCCTGGCAGCATTGGCAGTGGGGCCACGTGGGCAAAGGGACTGGGCGCTCGTCAATTGGCGACAGTGTCACGGACACGAGAGAATGGGCGATCGACAAGAACCCTCGACTGCTCGCACGTGGTCACTAAAAACAACGAGCACCAAGAGAATGGAGACGCAGCGGTAGGAATTGATGCGTGAACTTCGGATAGCAAAAAACAATAGAAAGTTTCCAAGGCAACCGACAATATCGTACACACGCCGGCGTGTGCCACGAGCTAATGCACGGCGTAGCTCGCGCATCTCCTTAACTAATGAGCATTGCACGTCGCCGCCTTGTAATACTTCAGCGACCACGGATTTGGAAAGGGGAAGTGGATATCAGTGTTTCTCAACCGCACCCTCCATCCCCCGACCCCCGTCAAACCCCTTTCCCAATCCCGCCAGGGTCCACGCTTTCACGATTGCCAAAATCGTTTCTGTTCACGTTCGTATTAGAGCAAGCCAGCGCACAGCATACGCCTTTGCCAGTTGGTAGTTGCGTAAATACGCGTGGAGGTGGTGTTGAGAAACACTGCCCTTAAAACGGCAGGGGTGCTAGGATGAGCCTCCGTGACGGCCGGGTTTAGGTGGCACTAAGCAATGAGTAAAGTCAATAAGGATGTCGCATGCAAGGCCACCGCACACAGCAACAATCTCACGTAGCGACGGTACGGCAGGTGAATTCGCGTGGCATAAAAAAAGAACCCACACGCAGCATCTGCGGATTTTTCCACGAGCGGTGTCCGCTAATTTTTTTTTTACTTTACAAAAAAAAGTATGGAATTAAATGGATGAATAACATTTTTAGGTGGGAGGAGAAGCTTCGGGAGTTGCACGGGGAAAAGGTGGTGCAAGTTAAAAAAAACGAATCTTGGAAACTTACGGTTCTCTGCTTGGAAGTCTGGCACAAACTGCTCATCCTCATCTGGGACTTTGGCTGCAAACGAGAAAACCCCAACGGTCACTTACATCATCAGTGCTAGCGGCGCGTAAGTCTGACACATTACCGTGCAATGAACATGTAATGCGCCACTTGTGAACACCGTCACCAAAGGATATAATGACAACAACAATGGAATCAACATTACCATTTCAAAGTATGTACATGTACAAAAAAAGTGCAGTGTTGAATATTGTGAAGATTTTGAAACAAAGTGCTTTGGTCAACCAACTTGACGAGCCATAAAAATCTTGGACTTCCCGAGCACAATAACAACAAAAATCCACTTCAATAAAAAAATCACCCAAATCCAGTCAATAGCAATAATCACTCGGTAAGCAAAGAAATAAAAAATATGCATTAATTTTGAAAGGGCGATTGATCAATTCGGCCTCATCGGAAGAACTGCCACGGCGGCAAAAAAATGATCAAAGTGGCCCCCAACATAGATGAATAATGAAGGAACGCGCGTCCGTAATAAATTCGCTGCTCGCCGGGAAAGGCGGGTCAATGCGAAATCGGGCGGCTCCAGAGACGAAACTCCCAGCAGGACGCGTGGGGCCGAGCGGTGGCGCCACGCTCCGGGCCAGTGTGCACCGTCACACGGGCACGCCCGCACGCGCACCGGCCACCCACCACCCCCTTCCCCCCGCAGGCTCACCGACAAAACCCTCCACGGGCACGGCCGCTGCCGTTGTTGCTGCCGTAGCTTCCGCTGGCGGCACTGCGGCCGCGGCCCGCTGCGAATGCCACGCGGTTCTGCTGCTAGCGCGGGTAGGTTGACTGCATCGGAGCCTCTATCCCACATCCCGCGCCCCGTGCGCCTGCCCGCCCCCCCCGCCGTCAGCCGAGGCGAGTGGCAGCGGGTGCGGCAGCCCGAGAGTAAAGCGCGCAACGGCACTGGCGCGGCGGTGATGACAACGACGATGATGATGATGATCGGTGTCATGCTGCTTTGCCTGCCTGCTGGCTTGCAGGCGGGAGAGCAGACTCCCACCTCACCCCACCCACTCCCCCTCCAACCCACATCCCCCTCCACAAACACCACCACCCATCCATCCATCCGTCACCGCCTCCCCCCCCCCCCCAATGAATGCGCAGTGCAGCCCTATAGCAGCGCGAAGCCGCGATCGTCATTCACGACGCGAAGAAATGATCAACATCGTCAGCGATGATTAATCTGCTGCTGGATGAAAACGTCAGGGCATCACCATCCGCCGTCCGTCAAGATGGTGGCACGATGACGGGGAGTGACAAGTAAACACCACGAGTGCTTGAGGGGGTGTTCTGGAAACACCCAATAAACCACAAAAGTTCGTCTCAGAAACAGTCGTTTTCGTTGAGAAGTAGATGAGGCAAATTAATGAAAGTGGATTACAGTATTTAGTTCGTTGGAATGGCAACTGTGGAGAGAGAATATATACTAAATGAGTGGACCAGAGTGTGTTCCAAAGGACCTAGCATGGCTTATGAAATACATCTGCGGGTTACCAAGATTATGCTTAAACACCTCTAAAATGGACCGGTTTACCATAACGACAGATTTACACAATATCTGAAGGAAGAGGACGCAAGCGATGTGTGCATACGAGTACAGCTCCACTGCACATTGTCTGGCCAAAACAATCAACACCGTGATACGGAGGGGGGGAAATCATAAAACTTAACTTTACAATGGAACGTTTTGAGAAGTCAAATTAAATGATACGGCAGAAAAACATGAAGACGCATTATTCGGGAGTTACAGGCCACACGGAGGAATTGTCTACGTGTCACCGTTAATGACCGAGCGGCTCAAGCGGCTGCTGAACACAAAGTTGCGTGTTCAGACCATTACGAGATTGTGGGACCAGATGTACACAAACACAAATCTGGGTTTCCAAGAAACAGCGGCCATCGAGTTCCCCTTTCTCAAAACGAAAACGGGACACACGGACGGGCAACTAACTGGCTGCCATGTTGCAGTGTCTCCACTGTCTTAGCCATCAGGCATTTTCTCCATAGCTGATCAGGCCTTCTTAAACTCTCTCCCGCTGCACATACGCAAAGCATCCAATCACCACCTGCCTTCAAAAAGCAGCTCAAGGCCCTCACCTGGCTCAGGCCCTCACCTGTTCAGGCAACAGTTCTGGCTCCGTGCCTCCGAGCTCTCGATCGAACAATGCGTCCGATTCGTAGAAAATTTACGTGTTCGAAATCGTGTTTATGATTATTTACTTTAAGTCAACGGAGAATAGTAAAAACAAAATCACATATTTTCATTGTACAAACAACAAGTGCCTATTCTTGAAATGGAAGTGCTCGCGCCAGCCGCGGAGGAAGCAGTTTGTCCAAATAGGGTAAAAGTTCCTGAGCTCAACAAAACATTATCAAGTTTTGTTCCAAGTGGGTCATCGATAGGAGCATTCTTAAACATTCCCCCCTCTACCTCCACCCCTGCATCACAGTCGAGAGACAGAGTTAATGCATTAACGGTGTTAACCTGAGCTTAAAAAAAAAAAGAATCCCGTGAAACAACAACAGCAGCAGCAGCAGCAGGTACCGCGACTGCACAGCTTGGAGACAGAATCGAGGATGAAACCCTCACCTTCTGCGAGCCAGGCCTCCTGAAGCTGACGGAGGTCTTGGAAAAGTTCTGCAAGAAACACAAAAACACGCCACTTTACAGCGATTTGGCGCGGTCACTGCGAACGTCAACGCCACAGGGAAGTCTCCCGGACGTTGCCGGTGAGACGCGAGGCTGGTGTTCGTATATCTTTCAGCCCATACCTTCAGACTCCTGTGCCAAACCCACAGCTCCATCCAATACGTGCTTGACCAAGCGATCTGGCGGCTGGAAAAACAAATCGCCAGCGAAGAAGAGAACAGGGGGTGAACGTTACGTAAACACGGCTCTCTCATTTGTACGTCAACTTAATCGCCGAAACATAATACGTATGAAAATACGTACGGAAATAATGGCAATAGTTTACCCGTGCAAAGCCAGACTCTTTCTAAGGCGGGTCCTTGCACCATTGCGATGTTTTTTCCCACTTACAGTCATTGAGTGTTTGGCTTCCCACGGGAGGAAACGGAAGTACCCGGAGAACACCCCACCCCTGCATGCGATGTTGCGGCACTATCTTGGCGAAGCCATCTCCTGGCTAACCTCGTGAGACCCCACAACCTACCACACCTTGGCGAGCCCTGGCGGCGGTCACCCATAGAAGAGACACCCGGGCACAACCTTTGCCTTACGTCCGAGATTCAACAAAATTGGGTGCGTGTTCGTGGAGATTTTTTTTTCATCTCGTCGGAACGGATTCTATTGACCGAGGTTCTGTTGAATGTGAAAATCGCCAAGATTTGAACATTGCGAGCACAGCGAATGAGAAGGTTCACGCTCGCTAAAGCAGAACCGGCTAAAGATTGTGATGTGGAAGGCAGGAACCCTCCTGAAAATATGTGTAGAGACTCCAGGTGAGGGTTAACATTTACTCTTCATGTTACACACACACACGCGCCACTCGTGCACCAGTGCACAGCACACACTCGCTCGCACGTTCACCAAATGACACATTCGAATGTGAGCACTGCATATCTATGTAAATAATACTCACGCCACTGGCCGTGTAAGGCACTTCTTGGTCGTAAAATCCGTCCATCACAGCTGTCGGTTCTGCCGGCAACAAAACAATAAAATGTCACACATCCTCAATCACAGGTTCGTCCTCGTGTCACTAACGTACTATGCAGTTGTCACGGTGGCGCTTATAATCTATGGGATAGCGCCTGTCTTCGGCCCTTTAAGTTATCTGTACGTGCGTGCGCCTCGGTTTTTATGAATGGAATCAGGCGGCGCGGGCTGAGCTCCATTCACAAACCCCCCACCACATCCCACCATCAACTACAGCAGCTTCAGCAACTGCAGGAGGAACACCCCCACCCACCCTCTCCAATACTGCCCGTGGGTGTGGGGGAGGGTAAAGCGGAGTTCGCCTCGACACACTTCTCGGACAACCCTGACTGGTCCTATAGCTATGGCTAGGGTCCTGGCTATACAGTCCTCCCAGCACTGGACTAGCACCAACAACAAGACTCAGAATCTTTATTTAGACTGGAAGAATCCGATGAGCTATGAAGATATTTTTTTTTTACAGATATCCAGTATGGGCGGGTTACCAAGTGACAACTTACCAGCCTCATCAGGCCACACTACGAGAACCGTAAGCCATAAGCCCCGGTGGTATTGAGTCCTAAACGTCCCTAGTAGATAGTCCTAAAGCAAACCCAGCCTGACACTCGCCCTTAGTCCAAAACCATGAAGCTCACAACACTACCCCCTAGAGTCTCAAGTCGTCCCATCACAACTTCATGTCCTAATAGTAAGTACAAGTAATTCACACGAACTATTATTCGAGAACTATAAACCCAGCCTAGACACCACCTCTTAAATATATCCCTCCCTCATGCCCCCCAGATCCACCAGTCCCTAGGCCAGTCTTCTTTAAGTTGTAAGTCCTATGGCTTTTGGTCTGTAGATTGGTGCTGTTTGATGTCAAATTAGGATAAAATTCCACCGATTGTTTAATGCCACCGGGCCAACGAACCCTACCTCATCACTCTCATATATTAGTATATTCTTAAAACTCAGCCTATACCACAGCTGTAGTACAAAAACCCAGCTTACGCCACACCTCTAGTACTAAACCCAGCCTATTCCTAAACCCAGCCTATTCCTAAACCCAGCCTATTCCTAAACCCAGCCAATAACACACACGTCCTAAAACCTATCCGACACCTCATGACTAGTCATGAACCCCAGCTTACCTTCACGAATGTAGTCCAATAGATCTAAACCCAGCCTATTCCTAAACCCAGCCAATAACACACATGTCCTAAAACCTATCCGACACCTCATGACTAGTCATAAACCCCAGCTTACCTTCACGAATGTAGTCCAATAGATCTAAACTCAGCGCACACCGCTCGCGTAACCAAAGCCCAGCATGCATTGCTCTATGGTCGATGAACCCAGTCACCACGCAGGGGTTATCATCCATCCACCGCGCATCCACCAGGAGCCCCCCCCCCCCAAAACTCAACACAACATCCCGTTCCTCTCTCCGTCACTCCCTCCACCACCCAACTCAAGGAGCGAACTCATCGCCCGAAGCATTCGTCGGTAGGATAATGGCGATTGTGAGTTGCGCGCATGCGGTCCCCCTGGACACCCAGAGGACGCGTCTCACCCGGGGTGGCAATTTCATCCCCACGCGTGGCCAACTGAGCTCCGCTCGGCCCGTCCCGTCACGGTGTCGTCCACCTGTTATCCGTGCGTTTGTGCGTGTGTCCCATCCGCGTCCGCCTGTCTGTTCCGTGTGTCCATGTGACCGACCGTTCGCATGCGTCTAATGCGTCCTCCACACGCATGGCATGTCCTTGTCCCGTCCGGGTATCCATGCGTCTGTTCCAACTGTCCTTGTATCCGCACGGCGTAAGTCTGTCCGTAAACGCACTTGTGCCTGTGTGTGTGTGTGCTCCGCGCGCGCGCGCGTGCGTTCGTCCACGTGTTTATCCATGCCGGCCGTCCGTGCGACTATCCGCGTCGATCAAAAAAATATAACCCGCGCGTCGGTGTGTCCATGTGTGGGACCGTCCCATCGCCGGAGCGTGGTGGGACAGGAGGGCCAGGCAAAGGCATGAAGACAAATCCCTCGCTCGCTCACTCACCTCTCGTCTTTGTATCAAATCACACGGAGCCACCCAGCGCCGTGTCCGCTCGCGATCACGTGGGCCCAGAGCATTTGCTTCGCTTGGAGCAGCACCATCAACAAACACCGCTTGTCACGACTGCGGCAGCCCTTCGCCACACTTCTTCTTGTTCTGCTATCACTGCGTCCGTAGTTAATTATTTTCCGTCGGGATCGTCGAGGTCCAATGCTGTTTTCCAGCAACAACAGCAGCCCGCTGTGCCGGCAAACGCTGTAGCGTGGTGAGTGTGCGCGGCCGTGAACGTGGACGAATTAAAAAAAGGGGCTGAGCGACTGCGCTGGTGTCGGATCAGGGACAGCAGCGGCTACAGCGGCTACAGCTACAGCAGCAGCGGCTACAGCTACAGCAGCGACAGCAGCAATGTCCGAGTGTTTGTGTGCCTCCCACCTCCCCGAGGCTCCCTCCCGGCACCCCACATCGCCTCATTGGGCCCGGGGTTTGACGGGTGGGGGGGGGGGGAAGTGAGCGAGTCGAGGGGAGGAGGGAGAGAAGGGGGAGAGAGGGAGGGGCGGTGGGGGAAGTGAGAGAAGAGGGGTGGGGGTAGAGTGGAGGAAGAAAGAGAGGAGATGGGGGGGGGTCTAGAGGCGGGAGGGGGGGGGCAGAGATGGGAAGGGAGACAGGACGCAGGTAGATTGGAGTGAGCGATAGAGAAGGGGTGGGGGGGGGACAGAGAGGGCGGGCGAGACGCGAGCGGGTGGGGGTGGTGGAGCGTGAGGGGGGTGGAGAGGAAGAGGCGGGGCGTCGCTGCGCCACAGCCGCTGCGGGTGATTGACGGCGCGAGGGGTTCATTCATAAAAAAATAGGGGGGAGGGGGAGGGGGGATAGGGGGAGGGGAGGGATAGGGGGATGGGGGGGATAGGGGGATAGGGGAGAGAGGGGGGGGATAGGGGGAGGGGGATAGGGGGGAGGGGGATAGGGGGGAGGGGGATAGGGGAGGGGGAGAGGGGGGGATAGGGAGGAGGGGGAGAGGGGGGATAGGGGGATAGGGGGGAGGGGGCTAGGGAGGAGGGGGATGGGGGGAGGGGGATGGGGGGTGCGCATCGGCCTGGCCGAGTTAATCGCCCGGTCGACCGACCCCGACCCTTATGTGAGCGGCCCGGCCAAAGCCGCGAATCGCCGCCGTTCACCAAAGCCATTGTGTGTCTCTGTGTGTGTGTCTGTGTGTGTGTCTGTGTGTCTGTGTGTGTCTCTGTGTGTGTCTCTGTGTGTGTGTGTCTGTGTGTGTGTCTGTGCGTCTTCGTTTTGCTTGGTAGCGCCTCAAGCGGCGGCTGAAGGCAGTCCGCGGCGAACGCCGCAACACTCGGCCGATAGGGCTGAACGATGAATGGATTTCAAATCGAAATCGCAATTTGGAACAATGCGATTAGCAAATCGCAAAGGCTGCGATTTTTTTTGCGATTTGAAAAGTCCTATTACTTTCTTATTGGAAATGTTTTATTATAACTTTCTTTATTTAACTTAACAATTCTTCTATGTTTAATTGTTCTATTTAAATTAACACATTTTAATAAATACATGTTGGAAGCAATTCATGTCTTTTAAGTTGTCATCCTCGCATTAGAATATATAGAGCAGTTCATATTTTGACGGTATCACGTGGTAATGCTCCACCACGTGTTTTAAATCTATTACACAGTGAATATTGAACTGAAGCTTGACTTAAACATTTTTTTTAAATCGCAAATCAAATCGCAATATCTGTAAAAAAAAAAATCGCAATTAGATCTTTCCCCCAAATGGTTCAGCCCTCCTCCGCACGGGATGCTCGAGTCGCCGACAGCGCAAATGGAAGAGAAACTGTTCTGACACATCCCGTTCTGGCGTTGCACGTTTCGTGATTTTTAACACTTCCATTCTAATGCGACGCAATCGACGTCTCCGCTCCACACGTGTTCGCCGCTCCACACGTGTAACGCCGCTACGCTGTTAATCTTTTCAAGCAGTGGTTCTTATCACCTGTTACCGCAGCCTTGCACGCCTTTAATTCTCGATCGTAATAAAACATGTTTATGACAACATATGTTTATAATGAAACAAAGTAGCTGTGTGTTTAACACGTAGTAGGCTTTCGCGACCAATATTATTCATAATAAAGGTTTTTGGGTTAGATCGCGTTATTTATAAATGTGTCGTAACCCTCCACCACCCGACACGGCCAATCAGCAAAAAAAGTGTCACGTTGACAAAAGACAAATAATTCACTACTTTAGCCCACCGGTGTGTTGAAGAGTGAAAAATAGCTGTGTACTTATTGTGCGCCCCAGGTTAAGGGACCCCGCGTTTCAAGTGTGGGTGACGTGCACCACTGGCGGTGTATACATTACACACTGCCTGGAACTCTAGAACTGGATAATAGAACTCGAATGAGACCCTTTATTCAATGTAATCATTAGCCTCGCTGTGGAAAATATTTATCACAAAGAATTTGCGATATATCAGGAGTCAAAGCAATATGTCTTCTACGTATAATACTCTACACGTAAAAAGGTATTTCTTCCACGACAATAATAAAGAAGACGAAAATACGAATATGATGATAATAATATACCGTTGGCTATAACCTATGTATTATGTTGAACTTCTTTCGCACCGTATGTAGCCAACCGTGCTAATGGGATACCCATTTACTAAAGTAAACGATTTATTCTATCGATTACTCAATGAATCGGATAACACGTGTCACCTCTGTTCCCACGTGCGCCGCTAGACGGGAGGTGAGGGGTATGGCTTCATGACGTCATCGGCATGAGGCGCTTGTGGAGGCCGCTGTCACTGTTAAAGGGGCCCCGAGTAATTGACCACAAAGTGATCGATTATGATTGTTATCGACGAATCGTCCACCCGTTTCTGTTCTGCCATAGCGTTCACGTGACCCGTCCAGCTACGAGAGGCGTTCACCCACGATGCCGGTCTTGAATTAAATAGCCATCCGAAGCCCTTATTCGATTACAATCGAATCGGTAAACTGCAGGTAAATACTCGAGTCCACAGACTCACAGTGCATAGGTGCCGGCCTTTTACAAGACACATGACCAGAATGGACCTTTGACCACTTGCTACTACGGACGCTGGCAATACCCCTAACCAGGGTATATTGTATCACGGCTTGACGGGTCGGTGGTATACTGGAGTTCAGCACGCGTGACTTGTAGCCACAACCATGTCGAGAGAGAGAGGTATTCTAGATGTGTCATGTCACGTTTCATCATCATGATTCCAAATGTTACGTTTAATTTCTCGGGTTCGGCTATCCGTAAACCATTGTTTTCGGTCTGGCTCTTTACACTGCCCCATTGCCTCCGAACCGAACCAGACCAGCCACACATTGGAGCCAGTTTGGCCACTTGGACCAATTTGAAGAGTCGCGGTCTTGCATCACTGCACTGCACATAATGAGCGAATCGCGTGGAATGCTCCAGATCATGTCACGCATTTCGTGAAGCTAAGCAGAGTTGAGCGTGGACAGTGCTTGGATGGGTGACCAATCAGTGACCACCACATCGTACAAACAGGTTGTCATAGGATTGCTTATATAGGTAGGGTTGGAATGTATGCTCCTCGTAGCCTGGGTTTCGGTTACCAGCCACTGGTGACACATGCATTAAGCGGTATCCAAACTTTTCCTGGACATCGCTTAGGTCGAGACCTCCGATTAGCACGGCTGACACCGTACAGTGCAAAAGAAGTGCAACATACATACAACAAAGTATGAAAACATTAGGATACGGTTTTCTCTTTCTGGCAATAAAACGGGTGTTTAGATGTTCAAACGCCAAATACAAACCCTTTTTCAAGAAATAAAGTTCGCATTAACCGCACGTACTTGTGGTGAACATGCAAAAAAACATGCTCTGATAATATATGCATTGTCTTTGAAACTGATAGGGCCTAGCCTCACCCAGTGTCAGACCAGGGAACGCCAAAAGGTGAACAGTTCAAAGACAATGCCACTATCGGAACATTTGTAGCTCGGGGTGAGCAGCTACAAAATGGGAACCTTTTGTGCCGGTATAAAAGTATGAAAAAAGAAGACTAGGTTTTACTCTTTCTGGAAATAAAAAATATAAGGTTCCATTTTATACATACGACACATCGGTGTGTGTGGTGTGTGTGAGAGACAAACGCGACCCAGGTGTGCTGCTGGCCATATCATTTGTGTACCATTCCGGTCTTAATATAGCTACTTGCTAACAACACTTGTTCCGGGAATGAGTACGGCTTGACGGTTTGCAGATGATAACATCGTCTGTTGGGGGGTAATCGCTGTTATCGAACAGTGATTAAGGCCATTCACGGTGCATGGTGGGGTGATTCCATCAGCACCAATATTTTACGTACTACACCAGTGACTCATATATGGCTGAGTCGACCTAGGGAATGCTTGGGACCGGTTTGGATATTACTTGCCAGGAACCTTAGCAGCGGCCGGGAATTAACTTATATTTTTGTCAGTTTAACACGTAGGCTTTCGTGACCAATATCATCCATAATATAGGTTTTTTTGGGTTAGATCGCGTAAATATAAATGTGTCGTTAAACCCGCCACCACCCCACACAGCCAATTAGTAAGGTTTGCCACGTAAACAGAACATCCCAATTCGTCACTAGTACAGCACACCTGTGTGTTGGAGAACAAATTCACAACATTTACAACCTGAGTACGACGTTTCGCCAGTAATTACAACTAGCAGCCAGATTTCTGGAAAACAAATCTATTATGGATTATATTTTCGTGTTCATAGCGCAGCGCATAAACCTCTGCGCCACCGCTCCCCACACGCACAGGCTCTGTGTCAATGTACCACCACGGCGATGATGATGATAATCATGAGAGCATGAATGTTTGTTGTTGCTGCACTTTTAAGCAACCGTAGACCAAGGATTTCTTGTTACGCTTCCGATTTGTGCAATCGCTTGCACACAGATGGGGCATCGATTTCCGATAAATGGCAAGGGCATATTGCAGAGAAGTTCCAGGACGCTCTTTTATCTCCAGAAAGTCCACGGGCGTCTTACAGGAAGCGATGGGGGATTCCTTGTGCAAGAGGGCAGTGGTTACCCAACGACACTCATGCCCACACCGACGTAACGCTTTTTCGAAGCTCACTCTGCGTGCCCCACATTCTGCGGTCTGACACAAGACACTGCAATAGGCAAATTAGATGGCAGGGTACACACGACGTAGCGAATCTCTGTGTGAGCTAGAATCCTGGGCCACAAAAGACAGGTTTCTAAAACGCTATGGCATTGGCATGGCGACAATCTTCTGTCACGGTTTTTATTGACCTACTTTAAAAATGCCATTAGTTGTATACATACTCTTTGGTGATTTAAAGCTTTTGTGACTGCAGGGATTCATATTCTTGATTCTTTCGGTTAAGTCGCGTAGAAGGGAAACAATAAAATAATAAAAATATAAAATAATAAAATTCTCACGACGTTTCGACTGCAACACAAGCAATC